CTTATGCGCCGGCTTCAGCTAGTCACCACCCCCCACCCCACGTTGTGGGTGTTGGTGGCCAACGGCGACCGTGTTTTGTGCCAAGGGGTTGCTCGTGACGTGTCCCTCGCCATTGGCACCGAGGAGTTCTCCATCAGCTGCTTCGGCATTAGTCTGGACGAGTTCGACCTCATCCTTGGTGTTGAATTCCTCCGCACCCTCGGAGCCATCCTGTGGGACTTCGAGGACCTCTGCATGGCGTTCACTCGCGGTGGCCGCAGCCTTCTGTGGAAAGGACTAGGCTCCCCCCGCGACGACATTGGGGAGCCCGCGGTCTAGGCCGTCCACACGTCCCTAGGGCAACCGCTCCTGGACCAGCTCCTCCACAAGTTCGGCAGTGTCTTCGACGAGCCGCGCGGCCTTCCGCCGGTCCGGCCCTACGACCATAGGATCCACCTCCTGCCGGGCACGGCTCTTGTCGCCGTGCGCCCCTACCGCTACCCGCAGTTGCAGAAGGATGAGCTGGAACGGCAGTGTGCAGAGATGCTCGCACAGGGGATCATACGCCCCAGCACATCGCCGTTCTCTGCCCCGGTCCTCTTGGTCCGCAAGGCGGACAACTTCTGGAGGTTCTACATCAACTACCGCGCCCTCAACGCCAAGACCTCCAAGGACAAATTCCCTATCCCGGTGGTGGACGAGCTCCTTGACGAGCTTCACGGCGCCCGCTTCTTTACGAAGCTTGACCTACGTTCTGGCTACCACCAGGTGCGGATGCACCCGAATGACATCAGCAAGATGGCGTTCTACACTCGCCAAGGGCACTACGAGTTCTTGGTGATGCCCTTTGGCCTCTCCAACGCCCCGGCCACATTCCAGGTGCTCATGAACGATGTTCTCCGACCGTACCTCCGCAGGTTCGTCCTGGTGTTTTTCGATGACATTTTGATTTACAACTCGTCGTGGGCCGAACACCTGCAACACATCGATATCATCCTCAATGCCCTCTGTGCCCACCATCTGCACCTTAAGCTTTCCAAGTGTTCATTTGGGGCATCCTCGGTGGCCTATCTCGGCCACGTGATCTCCGCTGGAGGCATCGCCATGTACGCTGACAAGATCGCGGCGGTTGCCTCGTGGCCCCCTTCGCGGTCTGCTCGGGCCCTGCGGGGCTTCCTGGGGCTCGCCGGCTACTACCAGAAGTTCATCCGGGACTTCGGCATCATCGCGGTGCCCCTCACCCGCCTCCTACGACGTGATGCGTTCGCATGGGACGCCGACGCCGACTCAGCCTTCAGGGCGCTCAAGGGCGCCCTCACTACCGGTCCGGTCCTTTAGATGCCGGATTTCGACCGGACGTTCACCGTGGACAGCGACGCCTCGGGTGCGGGGTTCAGTGTCGTCCTTTACCAGGGCGTCGGGCCTCTTGCCGTCTTTAGCCGGCCGTTCGCCGCCCGCCACCTCAAGCTCGCCGCTTATGAGCGGGAGCTCATCGGGTTGGTCCAGGCCGTTCGCCATTGGCGGCCATACTTGTGGGGCCATCACTTTCTTGTTCGTACTGACCATTACAGTCTCAAGTATCTGCTAGACCAACACCTGTCGACGGTGCCGCAACATCAATGGGTCAGCAAGCTCTTCGGCTTTGACTTCGCCATGGAGTACCGCCCCGGCAGCCTCAACACCGTGGCGGATGCCATCTCCCGCCACGACGCCGAGGCCGCCCCTGAGGAGGGCAGTACTGCAGCAGCAGCGGTGGCCCTCTCTGGGCCGTCCTTTGCCTACCTCGACAACGTGCGCCGTGCCACGGCCACTGCCCCCGACACCTTGCTGCTACAGGAGCGCTTCCGTGCGGGCGAGCTTGCTGCCCCCGGGCACGAGGATGCGGGTCTGCTGTTACACGACTCTCGCATCTTCGTCCTCGATTTTGGTGACCTCTGGCATTAGGCAATTCAGCTTGCCCATGGTGCTGGTCACGAAGGCATCCAGAAGACGCTGCATCGCCTTCGTTCGGATTTTTATATCCTAGGCGACTGCTCCTTGGTGCAGGATTGGGTGCGCACGTGTGCTACATGTCAACGAACAAGACCGAAGCCCTACAGCCGGCGGGCTTGCTGCAGCCCTTGGCCGTGCCATCCCAGGTGTGGGCTAACATCTCCATGGACTTTATCGAGGGGCTGCCCAAGGTCGGCGGCAAGTCGGTCATCCTCACCATCGTCGATCGCTTCTCCAAGTACGCGCACCTCATCGCGCTCGGCCACCCCTACACCACGGCGTCCGTCCTCCATTCCTTCTTCGACGGCATTGTCCGGCTTCACGGGTTTCCGACGTCCATCGTCAGTGATTGGGACCCTGTGTTCACCGGGCACGTGTGGCGCGACCTCTTCAAGATGGCGGGCGTCAAGCTCCGCATGAGTACAGCGTTCCACCCCCAGACGGATGGCCAGTCGGAGGTGGTCAATAAGGTAATCACAATGTATTTGAGTTGTGTTACAGGGGACCGCCCTCGCGCTTGGGTTGACTGGCTGCCGTGGGCGGAGGTTCGTCAGCGCCTCCTTCAAACCCAGCAACTCTCGAAGAAGTACTACGACGCCAACCACCGAGACGTGGAGTTCGACGTTGGTTCGTGGGTCTGGCTGCGCCTCCTCCATCGCACGGCGCAGTCTCTGGACCCCCGTGCCAAACACAAGCTGGGGCCGCGTTGGGCAGGGCCCTTCCGCGTGCTCGAGCGCATTGGGAGTGTTGCTTATCGTCTCCAGCTGCCGGATGGTGCTCGCCTCCATGATGTTTTCCATGTCAGCCTGTTGAAGCAGCACCGCGGCGAACCGCCCACGACTTCGGGTGCTCTACCTCCGACGCAGGACGGGCGCGTCCTTCCTGCTCCCGAACGCGCGCTGCAGACGATGCCACTTGGGAGCGCCTCGATGACTTCCAGGAAGCTTACCCTGACTTTCAGCTCGAGGATGAGCTGTTTTCGCAGGTGGGGAGAGATGTTATGACGGGCGTCCAGTACACTAGGCGCAACCCCTCCAGTGGCCGCGCAGGAGAAGGCCAGAAGGCCCAAGTCATCAGCATTTAGTTTTTATCGGAATTACTATAATTATTAGGGGGTTATTTCTATTATTATTATTAGAGGACATATAAATACTTTGTAAGACTACTTTGGAGAATCAAGCGGAAACATATATTGTTTCTCGGCTTCCCAAGGGAGCCGGGAGTTTTGCCGTGTCCTAACCCTAGCCTCGTGCGACCACGGCGCCGCCGTGCTGTCTTCCTCGCGTCCTCAAGCCCCGACCTCCGAACACACACACCTACAGTCTTCGATCCCTCTCTCACCGGACTAGGGATCGTAACATTTTCAGTTTCACCTTTTTATTAACTTAAACATTTTAATTAATTTGTCAGGCAAAGTGGTGCTTTTCATTATCTTTTTTGTGTAATACTTCTGTTTGTTTACTTTCTTTACAGGCAAGTACTTCTATGCTTTGGGTTTTTCATGTAGGGTTTATCATACTTCTTAAGCTTTAACAAATTATATTTCTCTCTCTCACAACTCACATAGGTAGTGTTATTAGCAAGCTTTGATTGTTATTAGCAGAGTGTGTGTGTGGGGGGGGGGGGGGGGCGGTGAAAGCAGGGAGTATCTTGCAGCCAGCAGCATGAGTGTGGTGCCGTGCAGGTGCGGCAGGTAAGCCTTTTCAACATAGGTACAGCTGGAGTTCTCTTAATTTTGGTGTGGTCTCGATGCCTAGTAAAAATTGGATCTGGGAAGTAAAGGTGATAACTTTGCTTCCGTTACTTGAATTTGAGACTGAAATTGGTCTAAGTTGCTAAATTATGAAGTTGAAGACAGAGTTTGTCAAGGAGTCTCCAACTCTTATTAGGATAAATAGCAAAAGCATGATTGATCTGCTGGTGCTTACTGTGTAACCAGAACTTTGAGGGTTTATGAATACTTTATGTTTTACATGAAACAAAGCTGTTTAAAGGGGAAAAAACAATACAATTTATAAAGTCATTGCTCGCTCCGAATAACCACAAATCTCATAGCCTAGTCCTAGTTTATGTTATAGAGTTTTATATTTATAACCTTTCTAATGCACCTCATATCCTCTGCTTTGCATATAACAAATAATGGCACTGTGAAGATCATTTTCAATTGTTTATAGTGCCGTTCAGAAAGTTCCATCGCCTATCAATGTGTTCACCCTCTATGACTCAGGCAATTTGACAGAGTACATGCAGGCAGGCGATGCATTCTTCCTCAGCCTGTGATCAGTAATGTAATTATGCGGGCTGTTCTTGTCTTTATCCATCTCAGGATTTGATATATGTTGGAGGTAGTACAATTTTGTGATTATTTGATAAATTCTGTTCCATTTGTATTGTAGTCCTGTCAGCAATTCATATGATAGCATACACTTGATTTTATTCTTCGAGACATTCCCGGCCAAAAACAATAATGGTATGCTGAGAATTTTTTTTTTCTTTGGAAAATAGGTTTGCCGAGTGTAATTCCAAAAAACACTCGGTAAACAATAATTTTTTGCCGAGTGTATTTTGGAAAAACACTCGGCAAACCACTTTTTTTGCCGAGTGTCAAATTTGACACTCGGCAAACCATTTGCCGAGTGCGCGATAAAAAACACTCGGCAAATAGCTGTTTGCCGACACTGTAGATGTTGTGTGTTGTTTGCCGAGTGTTACACTCGACAAAGCCTTTGCCAAGTGTTTTTTAGTCTTTACCGAGTGCCTGTGGCACACAACAAAGTTACTGTTTCCGGTAGTGATATATCAGACCCACATTAGCGCTGTTGCCACCACGGTGAAAAATGACAATACATAAAGTAGGAACACAGATAGATTACAATACACAACACAGTACGTATATATATATATCCTCCAAATGCCAAGGAAGATGACGTGACAATAATAATAATAAAAAACTTTCAGAAAAATAGGTCTGGTCTTAGGATGATCCAGTTTCGTATATAAAGGTGGTGGATCATACTATACTATTCACTTCAATGGGGTGGCTTGAAGTAGGAATACGCAGCGAAGAAGGTCTGCATAATGGCGAGGGCCAGCAGGAACACAGCGGCAGCGAGCGACGTGGCCACCCATGGGTTGCTGAAGTAGTTGCGCACCAGTGCCGCACGCCAACGGGGCCACCTTGCCTGCTGGTACTTGTTCACCTCCGCGATCACACCGCCGAGGTAGTTGCGGTCGGCGGCAATGTGTACACCGTGGCAGAGGCGGCTGAAGAACCCCGTCTGGTCCTTGTCTCGCACGCCGTTCATCTGGTTCATCAGCACACCTCTGAGCTGCAGCAGCCTCATGTCCTCTGACGAGGCCACGAGGCAGTCCATGAGCATAGCGTAGGCGGTGACGTGGCCCGGCGTGAGCGGGTAGGTCTGTTCGAAGGCGATCAGGTTGCGCAGGAGTTGCTCACTGTAGTCGTACAGCTGCAGCATCGGGATCTCCAGGAAGCCGGCGTCGAACCCCACGTCGAGGAAGCTCGATGCACCCTGTCGCGCCCGGATCTTCACGCCAGCCTCCTCCAGCTCCGTCGCGCATGGCATCCACTCAGAGAGCTCGACGGTGGCATCCTGTACCTGCGGAGGTTGTCAGGCTTGGGCGTCGCGGATGGAAGACCAACAGATTGGTAGAAGAGGTGCAGGAGGTGGTGCACACTGCTGCAGGCGATGTGCGAAGACTGCAGCGGCTGTGGCCGGAGGGAGCGGAAGAGGCGTTGGGCGCCCAGCACGAGGACGTCGCTGCTCTCGTCTGGGTCTGTCCGAAGGTCATGGAACAAGCTTTGCACGACCAAGAAAGGAATCTGGTTCTCGAGCAGCAGCAGGTCGTATGTGACAAAGCCCCAGACCCAGCACCTGCCGAACACCTGGGTCCAGTCGTCGTCCTCCTCTTCCTCATCCTTAGCTGTACTTGCCTTCACCTCCAATGCTTCTTCTCTTTTTGCGATGTGCGCGTACTTGAGTAGGCGGTGAAGGATGAAGCATCCATCTAGCAGCATGTCCTGCTCATTGATGTTATCTGTCTTTTGGTAGGATGCTCGGATCCGTGGCTCTAGGCTTCTCAAGGAGTTGAGGCACCGGTGAAGGAGCACTGGCGTCCTCTCAGGCTCCTGGAGAAGGTGGTTTCTGCCAATGAGCCTGCGAACACAGCACCATTTGTAGTCTTCACTAGCAGAGAACAGACATTTAATCCTCGGCAAAAATAGACTCTAGTCCCGGTATTTTTTGTGCCCGGAACTAGAGATACCTTTAGTCCCCGTTGGTGGCTTCAACCGGGACTAAAGGTCCCTCCCAACGGCTACTGCGCCAGACAGAGGTGGCGGGGACCTTTAGTCCTGGTTGGAGTCACCAACCGGGAGTAAAAGTCTACCTTTAGTCCCGGTTGGTGGCTCCAACCAGGACTAAAGGTCCCCGCCACCTCTGTCTGGCGCAGTAGCCGTTGGGAGGGACCTTTAGTCCCGGTTGGAGCCACCAACCGGGACTAAAGCTCCCCCCCTTTATATCCTGGCCGTCTCCTTCTTCCTCCCCGAGCCCGAGCTCAGCACATTTTGAAGCTCACTGCACTAGTGTTCTTGCTTCCTCCCTCCATTGTTACTCCATCCATTCTTCGATTCCTCCGTCGATTTCTTCGATTCCTCCGTCGATTCTTCAGTTGTAAAGGTTACCAATCTCATACTCTCATTTTTCACCATTGTCTTATCTCATTTTGTTCACTATATATATATATATATATATATATATATATATGGTTCTTTATTGTGGTTTTTTTCATTTGTAAGCAATTTGAGCTCAAAATCACTTCAAGCTTGCATATTTACATGAACGAAGGTTAAAGTAGCTAGTTAAACTTGCGGACCGTGTTCATCTCGGCGAGCATGTTCTCTGCCGAGCGGTAACGGATGTCAAGGAGGAGCCTTGATTCTACGAGGGACAGCGGCAACGGTCGTGGAAGACCGTGTTCGCTTCCTCGTAGAATCGAAGCTCTTCCGTGGCCAAGTACGGTGCCGTCCGGTGGAGAAATGCTCGCCGAGATGATCACGTAAGCAAGGTCAACTAGTACGGATGGTTATTTATTCACATGTCCCAATATCGTCGCAGTAGTCTGTCAATCACCATACCCAAACGTAGTATATATATAAATATAAACGATAATCGATTGTTATGTGTATACACTCCCATTCTTCTGTTAATTTGCGGAAATATCATGTGAATTACTTACCTGCCGCAGTAAAAGACGAGAACACAATAACCATGGCCACGGCCATGAAAAATGCCAACGACACAACACTAGCAACTTTCTCGGCAAGCAGAGTAGTGTTAAACGCTCTGGAAACCTTTAAACTTCAAGCTTGCATATTTACATGAAGGAAGGTTAAAGTAGCTATTAAAAACTAGTATTCACTGTTCATTTGTAGCATGCATAGCACACTTCATTGTTTAGAGATATAGAGAATTTTAGAGTTTTTTTAATTTTATTTGTTTATAAAATGAGAAATTTATAGTGTATTAAAAAATGAGTATAGAGAGTAGATGTCAACTGCTTCCGGGTCCTCGGCCTCTCATGAGTTTCCAAAGCGACTTAGGCCGGGCCTCCCACTCATTGCATGCGGCAAGTGTTGTGATGAGACGAAGATTGTGATGGAGTACCGAATGAAGAAGGAGGGTCCCAATAAGGATCGCATTTTCTACAAGTGTCCGGATCGCAATGTGAGTTATTTTATCGTATTTAATGACTATGGTTAGTTTATACCTATTTTCATGATGGTTGTGATTAAAGTTCTAATTTTCTGTTTTAATTTCAGTGGGATGGCACTGGATGTTCAGGCTTCTACTGGGAGAAAGAGTATGTTGAACTCGTGCAAAAATATCTTGCACAACAGGCAGATATGGCGGCTAATGAGGCAGTGATCCAGCCGAAGAAGCCCAAAGATGTTGAACAAACGGGGGATCTGTCTGTTTTAGTTGGGATTGGTCGCGAAATCCTTGTGCTGCTGAAGTGCATTTTAGCTTTAGTGTTTTTAGTGATAGTTGGGATTGTCTACATTATAGCGATGATTTCTTAAATTTATAGCTTTTGTGGTGGTATGCATGTTGTATAATTAACTAATTATGTTCTAGGTTTTAATACGGTATTTATGTCATGTAATGTAGATGAGTCGGCATTGGATGTACAATGCTGATCGTCGCCCCCAAGAGTTCATGGACGGCGTGCATTCTTTGTTACGTGCGGCCGAGGCAAACAAACGCGATGGTTTCATGTGCTGCCCATGTGTCGTATGTAAGAATACGGTGGAATATCCTTGCTCAAGGACTCTTCATTCACACTTATTCAAGTCGGGTTTCATGCCAAACTATATTTGTTGGACGAAGCACGAAGAAACCGGCGTTGTAATGGAAGAAGATGAAGAAGAACAATGGGACGACAATGATATTATTCCCGATAGTGCGTGCTTCAATGATACTGCAATGGGAGAAGCTAAAGAAGAGGTAGCCGCAGAAGATGAGTCTGCTGATGATCTTTGTCAGGTCATTCGTGACGCACAAAGAGAATGTGAAAGTAAAAAGGAGAAGATCAAGTTCGAGCGGATGCTAGAAGATCACAAGAAATTGTTGTACCCAACTTGTGATGCAGGGCAGAAAAAGTTGGGAACCACACTAGAATTGCTGCAATGGAAGGCAAAGAATGGTGTATCTGACAAGGGATTTGGAGAGTTACTAAAAATCCAAAAGAAGATGCTTCCGAAGGACAATGAATTGCCCGCCACTACCTACAAAGCAAAACAAGTTGTCTGTCCTATGGGGCTAGAAATCGAGAAGATACATGCATGTCCTAATGACTGCATCCTCTACCGTGGCAAAGAGTACGAGAAATTGGATGCATGTCCGGTATACCATGCATCGCGGTATAAGATCAGGCGAGATGACCCTGGTGATGTTGAGGGCGAACGTCCGTGGAAGAAAATCCCTGCCAAGGTTATGTGGTATGCTCCTATAATACCACGCTTGAAACGTCTGTTCAGAAACAAAGAACATGCAAAATTGTTGCGATGGCACAAAGAAGACCGTAAGGTAGACAATATGTTGAGACACCCTGCTGATGGGTCCCAGTGGAGAGCAATCGATAGAGAATTCCCAGAGTTTGCAAATGATGCAAGAAACTTAAGGTTTGCTTTAAGTACAGATGGTATCAATCCTTTTGGAGAGCAGAACAGTAGTCATAGCACTTGGCCTATTACTCTAAGTATCTACAACCTTCCTCCTTGGTTATGCATGAAGCGGAAGTTCATTATGATGCATGTGCTCATCCAAGGCCCGAAGCAACCTGGCAATGACATCGATGTGTACCTAAGACCACTTATTGATGAATTTCTCATTTTGTGGAATAAAGAAGGTGTACGTGTGTGGGATGAGTACAAACAGGAACACTTTGATCTACGAGCATTGTTGTTCGTAACAATCAATGATTGGCCTGCTCTAAGTAATATTTTAGGATAGTCAAACAAGGGATATAATGCATGCACACACTGCTTCGGTGATATTAGAGGTGTATTCTTGAAAAAATGTCGAAAGGTCGTGTACCTTGGCCATCGTCGATTTCTTCCTACAAATCACCCCGTAAGAAAGAAAGGCAAGCATTTTAAAGGGAAGGCAGACCACCTAACCAAGCCTCGCAACCAAACCGGTGAGGATGTACTTGATATGGTCAATGATGTGAAAGTCGTCTTTGGAAAAGGACATGGCAGCCAACCTGTTCTGAACGACGCTAACAGTCACGCACCCATGTGGAAGAAGTCCATATTTTGGGACCTACCCTATTGGCAAGTCCTAGAGGTCCACAGCTCGATCGACGTGATGCACCTGACGAAGAATCTTTGTGTGAACCTGCTAGGCTTCATGGGTGTGTATGGAAAGCCTAAGGACACATTTGAAGCACGACAGGACCTGCGTTGTTTGAGAGAAAGAGACAACCTACATCCAGAGAAGACAGATGATGGACGCCATTACTTACGTCCTACCAGCTACACTCTAAGCAAAGAGGAGAAGGAAATCATGTTTGAATGCTTAAACAACCTCAAGGTACCATCTGGATTCTCCTCGAATATAAAGGGTATTATAAATGTGCCAGAGAAGAAATTCTATAACTTAAAGTCCCATGACTGTCACGTTCTCATGACGTAATTACTTCCAGTTGCATTAAGAGGAATTCTACCTCCAAATGTACGTCTAGCCACCGTGAAGCTATGTGCATTCCTCAATGTAATTTCTCAGAAGGCAATTGATCCAACTGATCTAGCTAAACTACAGAATGATGTGGTTCAATGTCTCGTCAGCTTTGAGTTGGTGTTCCCTCCTTCCTTCTTTGATATCATGACACACCTCCTAGTTCACCTAGTCAAGGAGATTTTCATTCTCGGTCCTATGTTCCTACACAACATGTTCCCCTTAGAGAGATTCATGGGAGTCCTGAAGAAATATGTTCATAACCGTGCTCGCCTAGAAGGAAGCATCGCCAAGGGCTATGGAACAGAAGAGGTCATTGAGTTCTGTGTTGACTTTATTCTCGACCTTGACTCGATTGGTGTTCCTGAATCAAGACATGAGGGGAGACTAAACGGAAAGGGGACACTAGGGAGGAAAACATATATTGGTACGGAGGATGATTATTTCAATAAAGCGCACTGTACAGTTCTACAGAACTCCTCTTTGGTAGATCCGTATATTGAGACACACAAGGATCTCTTACGATCCGAGTTTCTAGGGAAGACTGAAGCTTGGATTACGCGTAAGCACATGAAAACTTTCGACGGTTGGTTGCGAAAAAATGTCAAGGTGATGAGAGCATCCATGAGCAACTGTATTTATTGGCTATGCAACCATCATGGCATATCGTCACATACAAAGGGTACGAGATAAATGGGAACATATTTTACACAATAGCCCAAGATAAAAGGAGTACCAACCAAAACAGTGGTGTCCGCATAGATGCCACAGACCCGAA